TCACAGTCCCCTTGCAATGCTGCCAGGAACCCCTAGGGGAAACCCTGGTCTAAAGCAAAGAGAATGGAAAGCAGGGGAGTATGCACTGGAGTTCAAAACCATGGCAGCAGGTCTAGGATGCAATGAATGCTCAGTTCCACAGAACTGGCATGTAGACATAGTCATATGTTAAACTCTTTGCAGAGCAGAGCAGAGGAAAGGACCATCGCATCTTCCAGCAAATCTTAAGGAGAGCCTGATAACCGCAACTGGTTAACTAAGGCAGATCTGCCAATGCAGGCTCAGTGCTAATGATGTAAGAAATACCTTGAAAGAAGGCTGTGTTTCTACTGTAGAGGAAGAACTCCTCTCATTAAGCAATGTCCTGTTTGTCCTAGCAACAGAGCATCCAAGTTCTAAGGAATTTTACTTGCACCATCAATAGCATCCTGATAGGAAGCATCACAGCCTGGTTTGGGAATGACACCGAGCAGGGAAGGTGGGCTCTCCAGAGGGTGGTGCGATCAGCTGAGCACACCATCCAAACTGAGCTCCCTGACCTGCAGTCTATCTACAGCAAGCAGTGCTGGACCAAGGCCAGGAAGATAATGAAGGACCTCAGCCTTCCTAGCAATGGACTCCTCTCTGTTGCGGTTAGGGAAGAGCTTCTGCTCCCTGAAGGCCAACACAGAGAGACTGAGGAAGAGCTTCTTCCCGCAGGCCATTCAGGCCCTCAACCAGGACAACACCTAGGACTATTTATACATAGACATACAAATACAGACCTTGAATTTCTCTGCACAACACCCACACACCCAGCATTCCTGTCAATACACACGGCATATCCTGTATTTTTAAATATTTATTGTATTGTTAGCTTTTTCACTGCAACTGCCTCAGCTCAATGTGCACAGCATTACATTGCACGTACAACCGCACATATCTGCACTCCACATACACTTCATACATTCTTTGCTGCCTATCTTTTATACTTTTCTTTTTGAATTTCTGTGTAATTAAATTCTGTTTTTATGCAAATTCTGGTTTATGTCACCAGACAGTCGGCATTTCACTGCATGTCATACTGTGTATGGTTGTGTGTGTGACCAATAAAATTTGATTTGATTTGATTTTGATCCATGCCAGTGCCATACACAGTGAAATGAGAGTGCTCTTAGTGGCTGAATCTCCCAAATACTCCATCATGCTTGGACTGCCATGCTTTAAAAAAACATAACCCTCATGTCTCCTGATCAGAAAGTGAAATTTTAACATGTCTTTAATGTCTCCTCAGTGTCAAGAATCATGCATCAGTTGACCAATTCCTGCCATAGAATCCAACTCAATCAAAAGCCCTGACTCCAAACACTCCATAGGAATTCCTGCTTGTTATTCCAGGTATCAAGAAGTACTCAGCAAAGCAAAAGCATTTCCAATTCCTTCTCATAGGTCCTATGACTGTGCAGTATATCTTTCATCCAATAGAACACCTCATAGATCTTGTATATATTTCCTTATTATCCTTTTATCCCTTTCTTTTTACTTCCACCCCCACTTCAGACTTTCAGGTAAAAGTAGTGTCATATACAAAAGTTCTTGGATGACACTGTTAATTTGGGGTGTATTAATGAGGGGAGGGAGGAGGAGTGTAGGAGCCTGGTGAACAGCTTTGTGGACTGGTGTCAGCTCGACCATCTCCAACTAAACACCGGGAAGACAGAAGAGCTCATGGTGGATTTCCGGAAAACAAAGTCCCCTCCAGCTCCTGTCACTATGTTGTCACATCTATGCTATGCATCCATTTTTATATTTTTACCTTTAAATTTTATTTTTCAATAGATTCAAGATTTATTTTACTTTATCTTAATTTAGTTTATTCTTACTTTATTACTTATGTGTATTTGTGGATTTGTCTTTTATATATGCTGCTGGAACATCCTAATTTTCCCTTGAGATCAATAAAGTGTGATCTTCCTCGAGAACATATGGTATCTAAATTGCACTTTCTAACATCTGGTATCTGAATTGCACTTTCCGTATCTTTCATAACTTAGTTCCTTGGAGGTTCCTGCATCACTACTGTCCATTGAAAATCTCTCCTATAACACATTCCCCACCGATCACTGTCAAGGACACAAGACTGCCTGCATGGATGACAACCTTTGCATTGTCAAATTGCAGTAGTCAGGGAGAGAGCTCATCGGTGTCTGTTACAGTGTAGGACAGGAGAATAATGTAAAACCTCAACTGAAAAGAATGCTTGTCACTATGTTGGTCCAAAACTACATTCCTTCCTTGGACCTAAGCTGTAATCTTTGAATTTTTCACAAATGCCCCATATTGGTGACACCTTGCCATGATTGCACCTAGATGCACATTATTTAACACGGGTTATTTGGTACACATAGTCTTTTGCAATGTCTACATTCACAATCTCTCCAGAAACAATCTGTACTTCATCCTTTTAAAAGTCTACTGCTCTTCCAGCAGCAGGAATGTCCTTGACAACGGTCTGAGTGATGAATTCCCCCTGAATATGTGGACCACAAGTTAACAAAAGTCAAATTACACTGTCCACAAATGGTAAAATTCAATGACCCACTTTTGTCTGAATGTCACACCCCAGTCTAGGGTTTAAACTATAACAGAAAAAAGTGTGATGGGAAAGGTGTATGAATAAAGAATGCTGGCAAAAATTTCTGAGATACATAATAAAAAATATAGAGGCCATACCACAAGATGCCAACCACTCATCAGCAGTAAGAATCGGAAGGCCAGATTGGAATTAGCAAAGAAATACAGAGACGAGCCACAAAAGTTCTGGAACCAAAATTAACCTCTACCAAAATGATGGTAAGGCCAAAGTGTTGAGAAAGAATGGATCTGCTCATGATCCAAAACATAAGAGATGATTGGTCAACACGCTGGAGGTAGTGTCATGGGCTTGCATGGCTGCTTCTTGAACAGGCTTACTATTCTTTATTGATGATGTAACTCACGATGGTGACAGCAGAATGAATTCAGAAGTCTAGAGAAACAGTCTGGCTGCCAATTTACAGAGAAATGCATCCAATCTAATTGAGAGGAACTTCATCATGCAGCAAGACAACGACCCAAAACACTCTGCCAACATAACAAAAAAACTTCATCAGGGGGAAAAAAGTGGAAGGATTTAGACTGACCAAGTCAATCACCAGACCTTAACCCAACTGAGCATGCATTTCACCTCCTGAAGAGGAGACCGAAGGGAGAAAACCCTGTTGATGTGTTGTGCATTCTGAGATGCTTTTCTGCTCATCACGGTTGTAAAGAGTGCTTATTTGGGTTACTACTATAGACTTCCTCTCAGCTCCGACTAGTCTGGTCATTCTCCTCTGATCTCTCTCATCAACAAGGTGTTTCAGCCTGCAGAAAAGGGACATCCTCTCACAGGATCTTTTTGTTTTTCTGCACCGTTCTGTGTAAATGTTGCAGTAGCTACAGTGTGTTGTATAGTGTAGGTTGGATAGAAGAGGGAAGTTTAGATTAATTTAAAGCTATTGTAATAGTAGTTCCTAATAAAAATGCATAGAAAAGGGAAAAAGGCATCGTTTTGTGATCTTTTGATGCTATAGGATTTGTTATAACAAATTATTAGGAACCCCATTCTTTGAAAAAAGTAAAACTGCGCGTTCAGAGATGCTTTTCTTCTTGTTTGTTCACATCTTCCGTCGAGATCGTGAAGAACATCAAATTCCTTGGTATTCATCTGACGGAGAACCTCAACTGGTCACTCAACACCAGCTCCATCAGCAAGAAAGCCCAGCAGCGTCTCTACTTT